GGGGGGATCGGGATGGGGAACACATGTAAATCCATGGCTGATTCATGTCAATGTGTGGCAAAAACCACTACAATGTTGTAAAGTAATTAGCCTCCAACTAATAAAAATAAATGGAAAAAAAAGAAAGAAAGAAAGAAAAAGGGAATGTTAAGTAAAAAAAAAAAATTCATACACAAATATAAGTATTGTTCTTTGGAAAGACCACCTAAAAAGATTCATCTCTGAATGAAAAAACAAAGCTAAATGAGAATGAACATAAACAGTACTAACAAGGAGGAAAGTATGATAAACACAGCTGTGGAGATTTTTATTTCTAAAAAGAAAATACTACAAAAAATATAAAATCTGGATAAAAAAGATTAACTTTTTGGAAAACATAAATTATCAAAATTTACCTGAAAGGAATTTTAAAATCTAAACAATCATGTTAGAAAGTGAAAAAGGTTTCACTACTGCTTCCAAAAAGTCATCAGGCACAGAAGTTTTGCAGGCAAGTGTTTTCAAACTTTAAATGACCAGATGACCTAACAGAAAAATTCAATGAAATTCTCTCTTAAACAGTAGGATTATTGGTGATTTTATTTTTATTAATTTTCATATCCGTAAGTGCTCTTTTCAAGTATATTCTTATATTATCAATATAATTAATACTGTACATATTGATGTAATTAAAATTTATTAAACATTGGGATGAAAAGAAATGAAATCATGGAAGCAGAAATAGGTAATTTTTACTTTATGAAACCTTTGAAATCAGAGAAAGACAAGTAAAATGAAAGTGGTGTCAATTCGGGGATGTTGAGATAGTTAGGAAGAGAGGAAGACAGAGATGTGGCCTGGCCGTTAAGGCAAGCTCCAGGACATGCAAAGTGGCCTCTTCCTCAGAAAGACTGGGGTTGTGTTTCAGTCTATGTGAGCAGTGCCCTGGGGTGGTGGTCTGCTGCTCTGACCTCCAGAGACAAGTGGTCAGTGGGCACACCCTGGGCTGCAGCCGCAAAACCCAGGGCTCTAGATGCGTGTAGAAGCTCCCTTCCAGGAGATACTGCCACTGTGGAGTGTGTCAGGAAGAGCTGGGAGACAGTGCCCTCCACACCCCCCAGAAAGCAAAAGAAATCCAAAGTTAAAAATAAAAATAAAAATGGCACCCACCAATTTTAGCAAGACAGAGGGACAGCGTGAAAATGGCCCCTGCCAGCACCCCCGCCCAGGAGAGTACTTGACAAGCCCTGCCCCCACCCCCACCCCAAGCCAACCTGTGATATTTTTAAGATTAGCAAATTAATCTCTTTCACATAAAGCCTGAGAACTTATCAACCACTGGGCTGCTTCTGCCCTGAGCCCTGGAGCGGGTTAGCCCAAACATGCCAGCCCTTAGGAGGCTGCTTCTCAGCTCCACAGCCTTTTGGGTCTGGTGGTTTTCAAAGCCAGACGGGTTAGGAGTTCATTTCTTAGATGCAGGTCTTAAAGGTTGGGGTGCCTGAAGCAGGAGATGAACACTTTCTCCCAGGCAGAAACTCAGATTCTGCAAGGTCAGGTTCTGCAAGGTCCCTCCAGATTGTGGGCTGCCATTCAAGAGTGGGGTTTAGGGCGAGACTCTGCCTCAGCCTTTCCTACCTGCCTGGACGTGTCTGCTGATGTCAAAGAGTTGCTTGGATAATTTTCAGGTCATTTTCAGAGTGAACTGTAACCTCAGTAGCTGTAGACTAGGTGTGTCCCTCGGAGGAGGTGAGTTGAGGTTATTTTCTACTCTTGTCATTTGAACTGCCTTCCAGGACTCGTTTTCCATAACTGGAAGTCTGGAAAGTCTAGAAATCTGGGTGATTTTGCTCATACCCACCCCTCCATCCCCGAACCCGAGCCCTCCCCGCTCCCCTCCACCACCTCTGGCAGCCATAAATCTGTTTTTAATATCCAGGAGCTATCAGTTTGTTTGTTTGTTTTTTAAGATTCGACATATAAATGAAATCATTCACTATTTGTCTTTCTCTGTCTGATATATTCATTTAGCATAATGCCCTCGGGTTCATTGACCTTGTACCAACTGATATTTTCTTCTTTTTAAGTCTGAATAACATTCCATTGTGCATGTATACATAAAAATCTCACATCTTTTTCATCCATTCATCCACCAATGTACGCTTAGGATGCTTCCATGTCTTGGCTATTCTAAATAATGCTTCAGTGAATGTGGTGGGTGCATACATATATCTCTTCAAATTATACATTATAAAATTATATATATAATATTAAAGAAGAAAGAGAAACTTATTGAAGCTATAAATTATAACTGTATTCATGTTGAGTAAAATACATTTTAAATTTCACATGTGGTTACCATCACACTGTATCAACACAAGAAATTTCAGTAGAAGATTTCATGTCACAGTTCTTAGGTTAGTCTGCACCCCACAGCAATCAATTTATCAAATAAATACCCTTTAACTTTTTCCAAATATTTCCTATCAATTCTAAATAACTTGCAAGTTTGGGTATTCTGTTTTAGTTGTGAAACTCAGTTTGAAGAAAATTCCCTTTTCAGTAATTTAAATTTAAAAATAGTAGAAAGTAAACTGATATTTTCATTTCAATGCTTTCTCAGAATGAAAACATCATTTTGATTAAATAAACACTATCTTCAGCCCAAATTCCACTGGATCCACAGCTCCTCAGATTAGTTCAATCCACAGCTCGCTATGGCCAAAGGGGCCTGAGCCACTGGAAAAATGCTGATGGGTAATCTCCTGTGTGGCACCTATACTTATAACAACAGTTTCAACTAGCACTCTTTTGTGAGCAACAGTTCACCTACCACTCTTCTCAGACATCATTTGCACTCAGTGGCTAGTGTAAAACAGAAATACAGGGGCGCTTTCAAAACTCATTAACAATGTGGCATAGCAATCAATTAAACTAAGCGCAGGCTCCTTTTGATGTCCTGTTCCACTGGGCATGTTGCATGCCCAAAGAGGCAGCCTTGTCTTTTAGATGTCATTAAAATTTGTCAGTCTAACTATTGGATTAAAAAAAAATTTTTTTAAGCTTTTTATGTAATCATATTTAATTTCCTCAATGGAGAAAGTACACTAACAATCAGTTTGGTTAAAAACAAGCAACAGAAGCAAAAGGTCAGGCAAGTATTTGCTGTAAGTCAGCAAGCAGCAACTATTCTTGCTCAATTCATCTAACATTGAGAGAAGGGAGAAAACAGGACACTGGCGAAGCGCCTACTATGTTTCCAGCATAGATTTTTAAATGGCTCCTATTCCCCTCCAGCAACCAAGCAGGTGAACTGAAAAGACTGGGATGGTAGGGGGCAAGGGACCTGAAGTTATCTCCTGATTTCTAAAAAACCTCAAAAGACTACTGGAAAACAGTTTACCCGAGTTAGGTGGGGCCAGAGTTCAGGTTCACTCAAGCCTGGTCATTGCCCTGCGTCCTCCGGGAGCAGTCTGAGGGAGGGAGTGGGGGAGGGCGGGGGTCGGGGGAAAGGTCTGTCCTCGACCCTTGACGTGGGAGACGTCTTAGCATACGGGGCTGCCAGCTAAGTTGCTTCAGTCCTGTCTGATTCTCCGAGACCCCATGAACTGTATGCAGCCCGCCAGGCTCCTCTGTCCATGGGATTCTCCAGGCAAGCGTACTGGAGCGGGTTGCCATGCCCTTCTCCACGGGCTCTTCCTGACCCAGGGATCGAACGCGCGTCTCTTACATCTCCTGCATTGGCTACTGCTACTGCTGCTAAGTCACTTTAATCGTATCCGACTCTGTGCGACCCCATCCCTGGGATTCTCCAGGCAAGAACACTGGAGTGGGTTGCCATTTCCTTCTCCAATGCATAAAAGTGAAAAGTGAAAGTGAAGTCGCTCAGTCATGTCTGACTCTTCGCGACCCCATGGACTGCAGCCTACGAGGCTCCTCCGTCCATGGGATTTTCCAGGCAAGAGTACTGGAGTGGGGTGCCATTGCCATTGGCAGGCGGGTTCTTTATCACTAGCGCCCAACAGGCAAGTCCTCCAAAGCGAGAAGCGGCCCATAAGCGCTGTGGGAGGCGGGGAAGTCTGAGGGAAGGGGCGGGGACAGAGGGGGCGGGGCTTTGGGGCGTGACCAAGGGAGGGCGGGGCCGAGAAGAGACTCTGGAAACAGGACCCCAGAGTTGGTGGGGAGCGGAGGAGGCTGGGCCGAGGCGGTGGCGCCCGCGGCCATATTTAGGCCAGGCCGGTCCCTTCTGGTGCAGCTGCTCTTCCCGCCGCCGCCGGAGGTGAGCCTGGGCAGAGGCCTGGTCGTCCTCGGGCCGCCAGGATCTCGTGTTGCACGGGTGACAGTGGGGGTTCCGGTAGGGGCGGACTCTCCTGGGCCCTTGCGGCGGGTCGCGTGGGTGCGATCGCGGAGAACGCGGCCCCTGGGCTCGGCCGCGGACAGCCGGAGCTGGAGGCCGAGGGAGGGGCGCTGGCCGGAGGACCTTGTCCTCAGGCTCGGCCCCTCGTCCCAAACCCCTGTTCCCCACTGAGCCTCCAAGAATTGTAACTCCGGGCGCTCGGGCCTGCGGTCTCTTTCTTTGAGCGGCTGCTTGTTTCTCAAGTGCCCACTGCGTTTCCGTAGCTGTTTCTGCGTGAAATTGATGTGCACCCCACTCATGGAGGAAGCAGACCCCAGACGTTCGCAGTCCCCACGGGAGGGGGAACCTCCTTCTCTGCACACAGTTCAAGCTCTTGGGAGGTTCGATCGTGTGGTAAATGCGCTGTCAGAGTTGTCTCGGGGCGTGGCGGTCACCTCTGATGGGCTGGTCAGGAGGCCGACATTTGCACGGACCTTGGAGGGCATGGGAGGTTGCAGAAATAATAGTGTGCGTAATCATAGCCAGCAGCGTTGTAAGTGCATGAATTAACAACCCTATCGGATTGGTCCTATTAACATCCCCATTTTATAGATGGGGAAATGAGGCATAGAAAGTGTGCCCCCGTCACTACCACTACCGGAGTACTACCAGGAAGTAGTACCTAGTGAAGCCAGAATCTGAACCTGGAGCGTCTGGCTCCACAACCTACTCTCAAGTCACTGTTCCATGGCCCCCAGTAGAAACATCCAGACTATTGTAGAATGATTGAGTTTAACTAAATTAAAATAAAGAAACAAGCCCAGAAAAATACTGTGGGACTGTTGAAAATAATTTAAGGTGTCTGGAGTTCATGAATGCTCTTTTTTTTCCCCAGGGTGCATTAAAAGTTCATCCGAGGGCAAGCCATGTGATTTTTTATGAAGAAAAAGAGATTATGATTAGTACACAGTTAATAATATGACCAAAGTAGATAATGGCGTTTTATTCATCCTGATCTTTTTGTCAGTTCATAGTTTGAATTTTGTGAACTTTTAATGGAATCAGACTTGAAAAAAAATCATATAATTAATGCCAGTGTCTTCCATTTCAGTGACTTAACTGATTTTCAACTACTGGCCTGATAGTTGGGTGGGATTAACTCTCTACACCTGTAGCAGGATCCTGACTGTGGGCCAGCATTTGTCATCTGCTAGTTAATGTGAGCAAGCTAACCATGTTTTCAAATGGACAGACTATACTTAACACTATACAACTTAACACTATTGAACTATGCACTTAAAAATGGTTAAGAAAGAAAACTTTATGTTTTATCACAATTTTTAAAATAAAATTAAAAATAATTTAAATGATCAGTAATTCCAAGTAGACCATGTTAGACCTGACTGTGACTTGTGTAGGGCTCCATTGAGCCGTAAGGTAAATGGATTAAAGCCCTAGGCCTCTATGCAGGCTTGGTTTTAGTGAGACATACAAGAAGAAAACGAAGTAGGAAGCTAAGTTTTAATTTCTTGTGTATAATTAGGATGGTGGTAATGGGAATTCAAAGAGGGGATAACTTTAAGACATTACAGACAGTTGGGCAAGATAGGCGTAAATGAAAAGAGAGCAGAAAGAGGAATAGAAAAACGTGGTTTGAAGGTAGGAGATTGAACTTAACTTCAGATGTGTTGAGTTTTGCTAGCCAGAGGCACATCAGGTGAGAAGGGTTCAACAGGAAATTTAAATTCTGACTCCAGTGTTGGAGGATGAATGAGTGGAGAGAGGCAGATTTATATTCTTTTACACAAAAAATGTAGTTGAAACTTAGGGGATGGGAGTTAAGGAAAGAGTATAAACAAAAAAGGAAAGGGAGATGGGGAAAGAAAGAATGGAAGAGAATTCAGATCCTATAGTTTCATTGAGGAAAGGGATTTTTATGAAGTGCTGGTGAGCAGTGCCATAATTGGGTGATGTTGGGGAGACCTGTGCGGGTCATTAAGAGCCAGTGGGGTGGGGACACATTGCAGCCAGAGAAATGGATCAAAGTCCATGAGAGAATGGGAATGGAAATCCAGGTAGAGATATGTAGAAAACTTTTGAGGCTCATGAGAAGAAAGAAAGAATGGGTAAAATACAAAGAATACAGATTTCTGGAGATAGATAACATTTAGCCTCAATGAGTAAAGGGAACAAAAGTAAGATCTGACAGTTTGGCCTTTTGGAGGAGTAGTGGATGCTTTGTGAATAAAGACAACTTTCTCTTTAGTAGTTTTTACCTAATTGGCGTTCCACGTGTTGATACCATGCAGTGAGAGAACCTTTGTTCTCTGAAGATTATTGAGGTACATTTCATTGACTTTCTAGGAAAATTGGCACTGTGGGGTTTTTTTGGGTTTTTTTGTTTGTTTTGGGGTTTCAGAGAAGGGTGTTTTTATTATTCTGTCGCACTCTAATTTCATTTCCCCCCCAAGATCTCTTCCTAGAACTGAAATGAAACATCTGTCAGACAAATGACCCTTAGTGTGCATTGCTGCGCACATTTCTGTTTGCTCCTGTGTGGCACTCACTCCACCATCATTCATAAGCCCAGTCGGTTTTCTCACCAGCTCGTGTTTTCTAGGAGTCAGCCCAGGGTCCTTAAGTTTGAATCTCTTCCCTTCTTTATCCAACCTGCATGACAAGTTTGACCTGCAGCTCAGGGGGGTTTAGGCTTCCTCTTATCTTCCTCTGCTTTTTAGTCTCCACTCCTATTTTCATCACTCTCAGCAGTTGATCATATCTCATACTTCCAAATTACAGTTTAAAACTTTCTCCTGTTTATTTAAAAAGAAAACTTTCTTCATTGGAATCTTATTCCAGAAAAAGCTTTTAACCAAACAGAAGGCCTTGTGGCAAAGTAGGTATTAAGGTTACTTAGACTCTGGGCCTAGGTAAAGCGATGATGCTGTTCCATCAGCTGGCCTTCCCATTCTGCCACACCCAGGGTGGACGGTCATCTGCCTTAGGAAAGGAAGATACCTCTTTTGGGAATGTGTAGTGGACTGTAACCTTTGTTGTAAAAAGTATGTCCCATTTATACATCATTTGGTCTTTTTTTCAGGCTCATCTACACTTTGGTACAGACCAAAAAGCAAGTAGTAATTGGACAGGTACATTACATTTTATTTTTGATATATTACTTTTGAACTTGAATATAAAAAATCTAGTAACATGGCTTAAAATATGCTGAGTTTAGCATAGGAAAATTTTAGTGAAAAATGTAATCGCCTAGTATATCATATATCAAAGTATATCATATCTAGTTATTAGCTTATGTCTTGATTTTTTATTGAGCCTTTTTTCTTAATTCATAATTGAAGACAGTTTCTAAAATGAGTGGTTGGGGGGGAAAAGAACTTTAAAAGCTTTAAAAAAAATTCATTCTACCAATTTAAAAAACAGTATTTTCACTTTTCTTCTTTGCCCAAATGCAAAGTACTTGATTTTGAATTTTAATTAAAAAGAACATTCGAAGAGTAGAAGAAATAGACCAGTGATGAATTAGTAAAATGGTGAATAGTAAAGTATAAAAACAATAGAGGTAAAGATTAAGTTGATTTGTAAAACTTTCACATCATTGGTAGCTAGAAGTTTAAAAATGTCTTCATTAATTCAACAAATAATTTTTAGATATCTTTTACGTACTAGATATATTCTCGGTGTACCATGTTTTTGGGAAAGCAGATACAGTCCCTACTAGGTCTAAAAAATAGGAATTCCTTGCAGAATAATTCCACCAGGTAAATTTTATTCTTCGGTCTCGTGCATATATTTTAAAAGTGTACTTCTGTCTCTCTTAATTCATTATTTAAGATAGAGTCATGGACAAGAATAGCTGAAGTTAATATTCAGTAACTAATAACATCATTTTTTCTAAAATTTGGCCTTTTGAAGCTTAAAAGCATAAACCTTTGAATAGAAGGTAATTCCTCTGTGTGTAATTGTAATACCCTAGTGCTATGAAATTAGTCAATCTTTTCTGGAAAAAAAAAGTTTTTTTAAAGAGTATTTAAGAACCCTCTGGTGAGGCAGGAAAGCAGAGCAGAAGAAGGGCTCTGAGGTCAGATTCTGTGCGTCACATCCCACATTTCAAGAGGTGAAGCTCAGTATTTGGATTTATCGAGGAGATTACCTAAAGGTAAGGTTGAAACTAATCTTTTGTGAAGACATTTCCCAAGTAAGCTCTCCAAGATTATTTTGACATGTCTTTTTAGAGTAACTGTAGCACTGCAGCTGGGTTAGCATACAGTAGAGTATTTCACCCAGCGGACCACCGGGTGGTAATACCTGTTCCTGGGATCCCAGGATTTTTTTATTTAATGTGTGTGATTTACCGATTTATAATAAGGAGAGAAAGGGAATCCTTCCTTGAGAAATACAGATCAGAATCAGTCTGGTTTTTCTTTGCTCAATGGGTGCTTAACCATACATAAAAGATGGTGTTCCAGTTTTTTGTGGGGGTTCTTCTGGTATTATTATTAAAAATTAATAATGTGTGGTATTTTAACATTTAAGTTTAAAATCATTCATGAAAACTTTTAAGATGTTTTGGAGAGAAAAGAATTAACCAAACTTCAGAATTTTTTCCTGGCAAACTACTTTTAATTCACCTAGGACAGCCACATGTTTTACTGGCTGGTTTGTTTTAAAAGGAGAAATGTTGATGTGAAGGTTGTAGAGCACTTTCTCTGAAATGCTCCGCTAGGATGAGTAATTTGATCTGGTTTAACATATAGGAAAGTGCCTATGCTGTAAGTGTTGAATACATGTTCTTTCTTATTATTATCAAAACTATTACTGTTACATCATTTTCCTCCTGTTTTCTTACCAGCCCTTAATCAGTCATACCATTGATTCTTTTGTTACAGTTCACAGCAAACTATTAACAATGTTCAACCTTCTAAGCTAAAGTAATCAGTTAATAACTTATTTATATTCTCTTGCTTTCTAAAAGGAATTTGGGGCAGTCCACAGACATACACACCACGAAGCTTGTTAATAAATTAGTAATGACATACCAGCGTACTTACGTTTTCTAAAGTGAATATAACAAGTGTAAGTGTACATAATAAACTTAGTCACTTTCATAATACTATTTATCAGAGAATTAGTATTTGAAAAAAATTCAAGGTGGCAGACAGTCGTATGTTTAGATACTTTATCTGAAAACAGTTCTGTTGCAAGTTTTTTAAGAGCTAATTCTCTTGTTAATGAGAAATTAATGAGATCCCTCTTCACTAATAGGAGAAGAATGGCATTGAAACAGGTTTCCAGCAGCAGGTGCTTTGGCGGACTGCAGAAAGTTTTTGAACATGACAGGTAACTACAAAGAGGATACAATTTTAGATCTCTCTCTGCTTCCACCTCTTTGATTCTTTAAATAAGCCCATGAAAGATCACGGTTGCATGAATAACTGTCTACATGGAAAACCTGTGGTTTTTATCAAATTTATCTTACCTAGTTTTGACATTGGTGATAGTAATAAGATATTTACTTGAAAGTTACATATAAATTTCATATTTATATGAAAAGAGAATTAAGGATGTGGTCCATTTCAGTGTCTGTGAGCAAACATGTAGTTTAAGATCTCTAGATTTGTTATTTCATACATTTCTTTAGAAACAATTTTTCTTTTAAAAATTTTCGTGCTGTATTGAGGGTATTACATTTATTCTTTTAATTCATTCTTCTCCAAAAGACTGTGTACTATGCACAGCATAAGCTCGGGTTGATTAATATGCTGAATTGGCCCTGTTCTTTCTTTAAGGGCTAGGGGCCATACCCTAAAATGTTGACAAGATCACTTATTCTGGACATTAAATCACTTGTTTTACGTTTCTTTCTGACCAATGAGGGGCAATTTTATTTTATTTTATTTTATTTTTTGATGTCTGTTAAAATTATAGTGTTGAACTGAAGTGCAAAATGAAATTTGCTGTCTATTTACCACCAAAGGCAGAAACTGGAAAATGCCCTGTGCTATATTGGCTGTCTGGTAAGTGTTATGCAAAAAGGAGTTTTTCTTTTTTTCCTGGCTTATCTTACTCTTCCATCCTGACTTTTTGATGTCATTTATAAAAGACTTTAGGAGCCTATAGTCTGCTCTTACTTTATCCTGAGAATAATTTCAAGCCTACTGAACTACATTTGTTTTATTACTTCTTTTTCATGTATGTGTTGTTATTGTATAATTGCTAAATCGTGTTGGACTCTTTTGTGACCCATGGACTGTAGCCCGCCAGGCTCCTCTGTCCATGAGGTCTCTGGGCAAGAATCTGGAGTGGATTGCCATTTCCTTCTCCAGAGGATCTTCTCGACCTAGGGATTGAACCTGCATCTCCTGCATTGGCAGGTTGATTCTTTACCATTGAGCCAGGGAAGTCTACTTCTTTTTCAGTTAGACCACATAAGTTAGCAGAAAATATAAAGTTCTAGACTCATTGACAAAAACTTAGAAAGTTATTTAGTTTGTGCATAACCAAACGTTTCTTAGAGACTTTACCACTCAAAATAGAACAATGTTAGGTAAAATTAGGACACTTGTGATATGCTACTTAGAAACCACAGACAAGTAACTTCTTACAGTGTTCTCTAGAATGTTTTAATTGGACCCAGATCTTCTCTGGCAACAATCTGGAACATCACAGAAGACATCGTAATCACTGGTGAATATCAAAGACTGTCCAGTGGATTGTGAGAGCTCTTTCACAAGATACCGGCACTTCATCTTTAGAAGCAAACATTTTAAGAGACCCATAGAAAACCAAATTATGTCATAGAGTTCTATTGTTGTTTCTTTAAAATTGCCTCTTATAACTTTGATTTAATAAATCCTCCCTTATGTATGTTTTCTCAAGGATAAGTCCGAATTATGTCTTTAAAAATGAGAAATATATTTAATTTTAAAAGGTAAAAATTAAGTACTTACGTAATTTTAACTCAGCATCTCATTTCTTTGGAGAAAGCAAACCAGTTTTGCTGGAAGAGCACTGGGTATTGCCAAAAGCAATAATAAATCCCATATTTGTTTTAGAAACATAATATTGTATAGCTAAAGATGCTTTAGAAATCACGTAAGCATGACCAGGAAATTATATATTACTCAAAATCACATACAGGAGTGAACATGTTTTCTGATTCATGGGCCAGAGCTGTATTCATTCTTTTCTCCTATTCTTTTGAAATTTTGTTTCTTGTGAGAGCTATTTCACTCATATCTCTTGTTAAAAGAATAATAACCCAGGCCAAATGTACCAGGGTATTGTATAATAGGCACTGTAATAATAAGGTCCTAAATTCTTAACTGAAATTGAAATCTATCAAGATGTATATTCTGAGCTTTATGAATATAGAAAATAGTTTATTTGTTTACATCAAATGACAGGGCATTTTCTGTAGTGAGAGGCTAAAGAAGAGATAAACCTTGGAAATTAAGGCTTGATTTTCTGAAAAAAGCTAAGTTTGACCAGTGCGCTTGAGAAAAAATGACAGAAGAATACTGGAAGGTTTACATCCTAGTTAAATGAAGGAAAACAGTGACAGAAAGAGAGCATCAATTGTTACAAATTAACTGGAATCAAACTATTTTTATTCTGAACTGTATACTTTAAGGGAGTGAATTGTATGGCATCTGAGTTATACCTCAATGAAGTTGTTACCAAAAAAAAAGAAAAAAACCAGCTCTTCACATAAAATAAGTATAGTTGACCAAATAGCTATTATTAATAGTAACCATCTTCATATGCTTGAACTTAAGTCTACTAGTAGAAGTATCTTCATTTCCCTGAGTCTCCTGTTCACACCCTACTATCTTAATCAGGAAATTTGTGTTCTAACTAACAACGAAAAAAAAAAATTTTTTTCTCTGATCTCTAAATACATTTCCATTTCCCAAATGCAAGACTCTGGACTGTGTCTCAGACACAGTTTAAGACCCTTTACACATTATTATCACATTTAATCCTCATAGCCACCTTACGAGGTAAAAATAGGCAATATCATCCCCGTTATTTTTCAAATGGAAGAACTGAGGCTCAGAATATTGGTTGCTTGCATAGTTAAGTGAATTAACTTAGTTAAGAAGGAGCTGAATGACATTTAGAACCAGATACTGTTTGAAATCTGAAACTCATGCAATCTGCACTATCACCCTGTCTCCTTTGAACACATTTACATTAAGGTTACATTTAATTTGCATTTTTATTCAATTTACATTTAATTAAAATTGCTGACCTTTTATCAGTATTTGAGGCAGTTCTCCACCATGATCTGGCTCCAGTGTTTATGACAGGTATTCTGAGAAGATGGAACGAGGACCTTGTTCCCTTTCCATGACTAGTGAAAATATATATGTCCTAACGGTTTATTTAACCATAAACTCTAGTAACATTTATCCAATGATACTTGTAACTTTCTATCTTATAATTATTAATTTAACACATCTTTATTGGGCAGCCATTTCATAACTCTCTGTGCTGGGTGTTGGGGGTTAAATAGAAACTATAGACTATGTTGTATAGTTAATTTATTCTGCTTCGTGCAAATCAGTAAGTTTTAGTGTTGCTAATTATCAGGCATATTTGGACATTTAGCATTGGCTACTAGAAAAGGGCTATTGGGTTAAATGGTGTTTAACTTCAAGCTTCTGTTGCCAGTTCATTCTTGGCCATTCTCACATCATTATATCAATAGTATTAGGCTCCCGTAATAAGAGAATCCCACTCCAGTGTTCTTGCCTGGAGAATCCCAGGGACGGAGGAGCCTGGTGGGCTTCTGTCTATGGGGTCGCACAGAGTCGGACACGACTGAACAACTTCACTTTCACTTTCTCCAGCACTACAATTCAGAAGCATCAGTTCTTCAGCACTCAGCCTTCTTTATGGTCCAACTCTCACATCTATACATGCCTACTGGAAAAACCATAGCTTTGACTATATGGACCTTTGTTAGCAAAGTGATGTCTCTGCTTCTTAACGTGCTGTCTAGGTTTGTCAGAGCTTTTCTTCCAAGGAGCAAGAACCTTTTAATTTTGTGGTTGCAGGCACTGTCCACAGTGATTTTGGAGTGCAAGAAAGTAAAGTCTATCACTGTTTCCATTTTTTTCCCATCTATTTGCCATGAAGTGATGGGACCACATGCTATGATCTTAGGTTTTTGAAAGTTGAGTTTTAAGTCAACATAACGGCCCTTCCCAACAAGCCCACCAGAGGTGTACCCATCAGAAACATGTATGTAAAACCTATATGAGAATGTTCACTGCTCATAATAGCCCAAAACTGGAAACAACCCACATGCCCATCTTCAATAGTATGCATAAAACCCGTCTATTTGTACAGTGGAATATTCTACAATGAGATAAACACACTAAAATTAGATGCAGCAGCAGAGTCTCAAACATTAAACACAATCTTTTTTTTTTTTTGCCATACCACATGATATACAGGATCTTAGTTCCCCAACCAAGGCTGGAACCAGTGCCCCTGGAAGTGGAAATGAAGAGTCTTAACCACTGGACCACCAGGGAAATCCCTCAAACACAATCTTGAGTGGAAGAATCCAAGTACAAAATTATAAACTGTATATGTCATTATGTACCATTGCATGTAAGAGTCCAAGCCAGGCAAATCTCATCTATGGTGTTAGAAGTCAGGATGGGATTACTTATAGCAGAAGGAGTAAGGGCCCTAGGCTGAGGTGATTAGAGGGTAGCATGCAAGGTCCCCTAGTGATGCTTGCTTCATTTGGATGCTTAGTGTATGAGCATGTTCACTTGGCAAATTCATCAGGCCATACACTTAAGATTTATACACATTTTCATATGTGTTATACTTTAGTGAAGATTGTGTTAAAATCTCTTAAGTAGTCATGTTGTGGAGATCATAAATATACTACTGCATGAAAAAGAAAAGAAATTCTTGATGTTATACAAAGATGTTTATTTGGGAGAATACAGTTTTCAGTGGCCACATCATTTATGGAGTCAAATAATGTTATCTCACTTAGAAACCACTTAGTAGTGATGGTGATGTGTGATGGCTTGTGAGCTCTCTGAATTTTGAAGATGCAAGTGGAGTCCAGATAAAAATTATTTATTGAAATCTTAGAGTGGAAAAATTCCAAACTGACATTTAAAAAATATTTTTAATATGTGTAATAAACTGTGACAAGTTAGACATGAGTTTTTGTTTTGAAGAGTCCATAAACATTTCAAATTATCCAAAAGGCTTTCTTACATTTTTTCTCATCAGAAAAAATGCTGTTCTTGTATTTGGCCACAATGAACATACACCCTGGATGAGAGACAAAGTGGCTTTAGTTTTGATGGGTGAGGTCAACTTTACTAACAAGTTATGTATGCATATAGCATATTTTAAGTTGGAAAACATGAATTTTAAACATTAATGTTTAATAAATGTTGAAAGTCAGGAAGAAAAAACAATGCTTACACCATCCATGTCAACATCTTTATATGTGTGTGTTTTTGACTATGCTGGGTCTTCATTGCAACAAAAAGGCTTCTCCTTGTGGTGAGCGCGTTTCTCGAGTTGCAGCACACAGTCTTCTCTTGTTGCAGAGAACGGGCTTGGTTGCCCTGTGGCATCTGGGATCTTAGTTCCCCTACCGGGGATCAAATCCACGTCCCCTACATTGGAAGGTGGATTCTTAACCACTGGACCACCAGGGAAGTCCCATGCACTTCTCACTTTCTTAACAGGCCTGAGAATTTAAGTTCTGATTCAAAAACACTTTAAAGATAGAATTATTATAATGATACTTTCAGAAGAAGTTAACCTGATATGTCTCCTGCTTCCATAATGTAACTTGGGCAGCTCATTTCATCCTTATAAGTCTGATTCCTCATCTGCAAATGTGTAGACAAGAGCCCCTTCACCCTCTAACTCACAGAACAGTGGAGCATAGCAAGATAAGATACCCGTATGAAATCATTCTCATCCCACCCAGATATTAGTAACCAATGCACTAGTGTCAGAGGACTCCCGAGTGAGGTGACCTTTCCTTAGAGATCACCCATAGGAATGTAATAGAGCTTCTGCCTTTGTTTATTTTCATTTCATTCCCTCCTATTAAAATGTATATTTATATTTTTCTAAAGGGGAAACAGGATGGAATGATGCCAGAGTATATAAGAAGACATTTTCGCTGTCAGTTCAAGATAGCAAATTGAGCACAAGCATTTGTCCCCATTCCCTTCTGAGATCACAGTAGTACAGAGAAGCAAAGAAGTGTTGGTAGTGAGGAGGGTCATCAGAGAAGAACTCTCAACACATTTACAAAAGATAAAAAGAAGGTCGAAACCCTTTGACAGAGTGAGGATATGTTTAGGACACTTAGGAGCTTTTGACACCAACAGAGAAAGCCAGTGAATACCCAGCCTGGAGGACCACGTCCTCCCTTTCCTACCTCCTTGTCTAGAACTAGTCACAGGACCGTACTTGAGGGCAAGGAAGTATGTGCCCCAAAAGGCCAGAGAGCTCACAATGTCCAGCGAATAGCTCTGATACAAATGAATATTCAGGCTCATTTTAAAGTGTATTCTTAAACGTGGGCCATTACCAACAGAGTAGATGGAACCATGAGACTTTTCTTTAATTAGGTGGCTGCAATATTAAAGGAGAAGAGGACAGCTGGGACTTTGGCACTGGTGCTGGCTTTTATGTCGATGCCACTGAAGATCCTTGGAAAACTAACTATAGAATGTACTCTTACGTAACGAAGGAGGTAATTACATTGTAATTATTGTAATTACATTGTAATTATTAATCGATGACTGTGAAAGTTTGATTTTGGACACAAGGTCCTTCTAGTCTTTTAAACTAAGGTATGGTATTGTTGAATCTATTTGGTATATGTGATGTGATCTGGTCAGTCACTCAGTCATACCCGACTCTCTGCAGCCCGTGGACTGTGGCCCACCAGGCTTCTTAGTCTGTGGAATTTTCCAGGCCAGAATACGGGAGTAGGTTGCCATTTCCTACTCCAGGGGATCTTCCCAACCTAGGGATTGAACCCACATCTCTTGCATCACCTGCACTGGCCACTAGTGCCACCTGGGAAGCCTATTTAGTATATATTTACTAATTATCTTTGTAAAGATTCCAAAGTTTACTAGTACTATACTCCTATTTTCTACAATTTAAATTCACTAAGTGCAATTTTAAAGAATTTAATAATTATGTTGATACCTATTTACACTGACCAGGTTATACAAAGCAAATAGTATATGAAAACACTTTGCATTTCTCTGGCCATTGGTTCATTCAGGCATATTTCATAAGGATTAACCATAATCAGAAAGGATCACTGGTAAAGCATTGCTTCTGTTAATATTTGTGTACAGTTTATGCACTTTTCTAAATTTTATATGATTTTAACTGTTAATGTCCACATCATAAAAATTCAGAAATAATAGTATAAAATTTTAATCATGCATAATTCTGTCACCCCTGACAACTATATTTTGGTATATTCCAGACTTTGTTTTATGACTAGTTTTCATATAATTGTGAAACATTTTTATTTTGTTCTTTTTTAGTTACATAAAACAAATATTTTAGAATATTCTGATCTAAATTTAACAATTTAGATCTAATTTTAGCAATTGGATAGTATTCCATCATATGCAGTGATTTACTTTTTTCTAATGGAGCTATTTATATGTTTACATATGTTTTTTACCATCATATGTATTAGTGCATTGATTATCTTTGTGTATAATTTTTTTACCCATAAGAACTTTTCCCTTAGAAAAAATTCCAGGAAGTGAAATTATTGGATCAAAGTTTAGAACATTTTGAAGTTTCTTCTGCCTTATCGTCTTAAATTTGCTTTCTAAGGGTGATGTATCATATATTCTCCAGTGATATATTAATAATCATTGTCTATCCTGCATTTTAAAAAAATCTTTATGGTGTAAACCATTGTAAGACTGTGACTTGGAAGTATTGATTTTTTTAATACAACTTTGAAAGAGTCTAAACTTACTTCTCTCATATCTTCTGTCCCACCATTAAATTCTCTCTAGCTTCCCCAACTCATAAATGACAATTTTCCAGTGGACCCCCAAAGGATGTCTGTTTTTGGCCACTCTATGGGAGGCCATGGAGCTCTGATTTGTGCTTTGAAGAATCCTGGGAAATACAAAGTAAGATTACCTAAGCTTCTAGTGACAGATATTTCTCTTGAATAATATAGTATTAGGAACTTACAGAGATTGAAATTAGGTACTATTGTTTTAGTATTGGGACTAAACTTTTCTAGTGTTGGAAATTTCAAGAGATTGTGGGGGAAGACTATTAAATTGACCATACAATATATGCTACAGACTCAAAAGAATAGGCCTTGTATCCCAGTGTTTTCTCATTGGTCTACTAGAGGTATTATCAAGAAATTTTCATTGCTTCTATTCAAACTATAGTTTTCTAGGCTCTTTTTTCCTAAAAGTTAGTCTTGACTAGTGTTATTGTGGCAATATGTTATCATTTACTTATATTTTTACCAAGAATATTCTCACATAAATTTTACTTTGGTTTTCCATTGTTTTAACTGGAAAAACTGAGTAGAAATTCATCATAAACTTTCATTTGTGCCTTATTTAATGAAAATGTAATGTACTGCTTTGTTGCTTTAGCAATTATATTTTATTAGCTCTTTGAATAGAACATACAAAGGATGATGGATCTTGGAGAGGCATATAACCTAAGCTCATAATATAGCAGAAGAAAAATCATTCACAGGGATTTTCATGGCAAGTCAGTTTTTAAGCAAGTTGCAAATATCTGTGCATAGTGAACTTACAAAAATATAACTTGTTTGTGAATTTTATTTTATTTTTGTTCCGTAAGTCTGTGTCAGCATTTGCGCCACTTTGCAACCCAGTGCTCTGTCGTTGGGGCAAAAAAGCCTTTACCGGATATTTGGGAACAGATCAAAGTAAATGGGAGGTAGGTACTGGATGGCTCTCTTAATACTCATTCATAAGTTTTCAAATTTGTTGAAATCTGCACTCCAGACATTATATTCCTAACTTATTCAAGTAAGGATCCAGGGTCTCCTGCATTGCAAGCAGATTCTTTACCATCTGAGCCACCAGGGAAGCCCAAACATCCAGAGCTAAAAATAATTAACAAAAGTGATACATATAACAATAACAACACCCATGAAGGATCTTTTTTAAATTGTGTTGAATTATGGCAGATATTCTGAGGCTACATCTTTTCTCTGCTAATGATTCATTTATGTTTATTTTCTAAATTAACATTACGAAAAATATCCCCTATTACTAAATTTAGACTTATCTCTTATTAACTATGTGCTCGATTGTATGGTAAGAACCAGGAGGCCTGGGTTTTTATTTTGTGTATCTGTTTCAAAATCTAGTGCCTCTCGGGTTTAGATTTTTAATTCTAGGCTTAACAGCCTTTAAACATAGATACTGTGTATGTAATGTACATTTATGAGTCTATTTCCAACAGCGAGATTGCTTTTTCAAGCATAGGAACAGATGCTTCTAGATGAAAATAAAACAGGCCCTTTTTTCCAAGACTATGCAGAAATGGGCTATTTGAAAATTCCTACCAAGAATTTGAATATTTTGCAAATGAGCTGATCACCATGTGATTGTTAGCAAGTAGCAGATACTTGAGTGGGGGGAAAAAACTTTGTTTCATTGCTGTTTATTCAAAATCATTTACACATGGACCCCTATTTTACTTAAGTTTGGTCTTTGAAATTCTAACAGAATTGGAAAGCTAAGCTAATCTCTTAGTCACTACATTATAGTTTTGTTTGTCTTAGGCCTAGGTTTTGATTATATTGGAAGAATGCCCAAAATTGTTACTATTAGTTACTTGGAGAACAATGCATTGACAATGCTTGTGCATCAGTATTTTGAGTTTTCACCATATGCAGAGTTTGTGTGGAGTTTTGAAATCTTCTGTCAAGAAGGTGATGATCCTTTCCTGTCCACAGGGGCCTTATGGTCTAATAGAAGATTTGAGTGAAAGACCAACTGCCAGAGGGAAATAGGGGAGAGGTTGCCTGTAAAGGAATGTGTATCCTTTTTCTCCAAGTGGCAGGAGATTTTACTGTCTTAATTAGTGTTTAGGCCAGCGTTTAATTTACTCTTGGAATAAGGATACTAGGCAGAATTATGAAATCATAGAACTTTAAACCAATTGGACTTTATATGTCTCCTTTCACTCTCCTTTTAAGACTAAAGAAAGCAAGTCTGAAAATGCATGATACTTTAGAAGGGAAAAACTTTTGTTTGTCTTGATTAATGCATAAAAAGTTGTGGTTAATGAATATACATGAGTGATCAACATTTAAAGATGGATGGTAAAATAGAAAATTGTAACTAGCGGCAGCTCCTCAGATACTAAATTTGAGTTGTTAACATGATTCAGATTATTCATGTCTTCCTGAAAGTTTCTGGAGGTAGTAGATATTTGGTGGTTTACAACAGATAGCGAAAGAAAGATTTATGTCTGGAATTAGTTAAAAAGCAGAAACAAAAGTAGACTGCTTATTTGAAATAGAAGAAATAGTCAATTTGTGAAAGGATTTACAAAGAAAAAGAATCAGGGTTTTTGGAGTTGAGAGGTGATTAATAACCTTGATGATTTAGAAGAAAAAAGGTTACGCAATGAAGAATACTTGAGATATAAAATCCTTGCTGTTGGTCTAGGACTGCTTGAAAGTAAGGACGAAGCTGTAATGAGAATAGAATTCTGAAGACCTAATAAATAAAAACCAGACAAGCCTTAGAGCTTGAATGACTTTAAATTTCTATTTGGTTCTAGTATAGGATATTCTGAAGAATATCTTTCTGGCACTTGTGAATTTATTTTTCATTATTTCTCCTCTTTTTATAGGCTTATGATGCTACCTGTCTTGTGAAGTCCTATCCAGGTTCTCAGCTGGATATACTAATTGATCAGGGGAAAGAGGACGAGTTCCTCTCCGATGGACAGTTACTTCCTGATAACTTCATAGCTGCCTGTACAGAAAAGAAAATCCCTGTTGTTTTCAGATTACAAGAGGCAAGTACCAGGAAACCTTACCTTGTTCTAAACTCACTCTTTTTTTTTTTTTTTTTTAAACTCACTCTTAAAAAAATAAGATTCCATAGTCCTTTCTTAGTTTTATTTTAGAATTTGAAAAGGTACCTCTAGTTAAGATATTTTCTAATTATAATAAGACAAAGTGAAAACCTCCCTATTAAATTAATGATATCTAAGACCATATTACAAAAAAATAGGAAAGCTTTTGGCAGTGTAAAGTATTTACAATTTTCTGTCCTACTGTAAAATCAGTAAATAGCTCAAAGTTTGGTGCTTAGATGGTACTTAATCATCAGTGTTATCGGGTATCTTTCTTTACACATGTAGCTATTATTGCAGTCAAATAAGAAGACAAGCTTACACCTTAATTACTCTTCACTTTAAGTACACATCTTTGCCTCGGAAGCTGTGTATTATTTGTCTGACACACACATATGCACTATATATTGAGTTAGATACTAACCAATCTGTTGTGCTGCTTGCTCATTGTTTAAGAACGATTACTGAATTTCAGTTGGTTTGCAGATTTTCCTTTTTCCTTGGCTAAAATACTTTTGACTATACACTACTCACCTAACTCTATGCTAATATAGTTGTAATTAAATTCTGCCTTTATTTTTTTTAATTACATAATCATACACTTCAGAACATAATATAAACAAAATTTTTCTTTCAAAATGAAAAATGAACCCTGAAAATTACACATGGCCAGGCTTTTTAAAAATATTTTTATTCATGTTTGTGGGTAATATGCCATATGGGTAATATGTTTATGGGTAATATTCCAGACACATTGATCTAAAACTTATGATGATAAGTGTTATCAAGATCAATGTGTCAAGTCAGTCAAGTCGCTCAGTTGTGTCCGACTCTTTGGGACCCCACGGCCTGTAGCCTACCAGGCTCCTCTGTCCATGGGATTTTCCAGGCAAGAGTACTAGAGTGGGTTGCCATTTCCTTCTCCAGGGGATCTTCCCGACCCAGGGATCGAACCCGGGTCTCCAACATTGCAGGCAGATGCTTTACTGTCTGAGCCACAATGTGTAAGCTTCCAAAACTGTTTTCACAGCATTAACTCATTTTATCCTTATATGACCAGATGAGAGACCATTCCTATCCTGTCCACCTGTTTGGGGTTTTTTGTTTTTGTTTTTTTAATTTTTTTCAGCTTTTTTTTTATTGTGGTAAAATACCACAATACCACATAAAATTTACTACCTTAACTATTTTTAAGTGTCCATTTCAGTGATGTTAAATACATTCAGAATGCTGTGCAGCTTTCACCATCATTCCTCTCCACAATTCTTTTCATCCTGTAACACTGAAACTCTGTTCCCATTAAACACCAACTCCCCATTTCTCCCTGCCCCATCCCTTAGCAGCCACCGTTTTACTTCCTGTCTCTCTGACTGCTCTGAGGATTTCCCGTAAGTGGGCTCATATAGTATTTGTCTTTTTGTGACTAGCTGATTTCACTTAGCATAGTCCTCTTAAGGTTCACCCATGTTGTATCATGTGCCAGAATTTTCTTGCTTTTTAACGCTGAATAATATTTCATCCTATGCATATACCAGATTTTGCTTATTCGGTCATCTGTCAATGAACCACGTTGGTTGCTTCCAAGTCTTAGCTATTGTGAATAATGTTGCTATAAACATGGATGTGTAAATGTTTCCTGAAGATTCTGCTTTTAGTTATTTTGGTTATTATACCCAGAAGTGGAATCATTGGATCATGTGGTAATTCTGTTTTTAATTTTTTGAGGAATCTTCATACTATATTCCATAGCAGCTATACTACTTTACGTTCCCATCAGCAGTGCACAAGGGTTCTGATTTCTCCACATGCTCCCCAGCATTCCTTTTTTCTTTCTTTTGACTAGCCATCATTTAAAAATAGAATTTTTTATTAATAGATTAATTTGAACATTTATCATCAGAATTACATGTTTCAGATCAATGATCAACCTTGAGAAATTTGATTATAAAGATAACAGTGTGTTTAATTTTATTAACTCTAGCTATAAGTGATACAACAAAATGTGTTTTTTTCCAAATGACTTTAACTTCTTGGCAATAGTGGTGTTGGTTGCCTCTTCTGCATCCCTTGAGTTTATGCCAGGAAATTTTGTTGTCACCACTAACAGCAAAGTTTCAGCCTTCCTACAAAGACTGAAAAATTTCTAGAGTTTGTTATAAAAGCAGCAGGGTTAGAACACTGATGAAATTCTTGAGGGGCAAAAATAAGTCAATTTATTTATTTCTAAAATGCCTATATCCCAGGCAACTGAAAAACATAGTTGTCTATGCTTAATGAAGAGTCAAGACAGAGCATTCCTTTTCCTTTTTTATTTAAAGATGAGAAAGTATTGAAATCATCAGTCACAATTTTTAGCTCAGGCCCAGTTTTCTGTTCACCTTCCTTCCAGCATGGGCAGTTTGAGTGAACTGCCCAGTCTGATGCAGATTAGGTTTAGGTTTGTTTTAGTTGAATGCAAAGCACAATGGACATACCTCGGCAGTGGCTCCAGAGAGGCAACTTTCAGATTTTCAAGCCAACTTCAGTCGACTTCAGACTACCTCAGGTCTGAGGGACTTACTGTCTGCTTTATCGTTAGGGTTAGCGGCGACCCGCTCCAGTATTCTTGCCTGGAAAGCCTCATTGACAGAGGCGCTCGGGGGGCTCAGTCTGTGGGGTCGCAAAGAGTCGGACACGAATGAGCATACACGCATACCTATTTTCGGTCAGGTCCATTTTTTTATCCAAAAACTGGCAGGTACTACTTGGTACTATGCTTCACAGGTTTTGTGGCCTAAAAATCATGGGCACATTTGACCTCTTAACAAGTTAAGAATTACATGGGTGCCGAATGCTTGTCTCCTACTATTTTTATAGAAGAAACTGTCCTTCAGCTCGAAATTTAACTACTTAACTGGGACTGGCCTAATCATTGAGTGATGTGAAACCAAGTAATTCCAAGGCTCAGCCTTAATTTTGACAGCATGCCTGTCAGATTCACTTCTACAGTTTGGCCACTGAAAATAGAAAACAGGTTGCTTTTTAAGTTTCTTTGATGATTTTAAAGTAGAAGTCTTTATTAACTGGTGTACCCAAGATACACTTTGCATACTGCTGGAAGTTAGAGATTGAGAACGTTTACTGATTCATCAAAACCTTAGGGATTTTGCCTTGTTCCCTGAAATGCAGGTGATATTTTTTATTAGGTCCAGTTTTATTTCTTCAGTGCTTAGAAAAATTCCTTTTTCTTCCAGTCAGACCATTCGCTTGATCAGGTTAAACTTTCTTAGACTCTTATCTTTCCCGGTTTATTCTATTTTATATTTTAATTGCCTCTGGCAGGGTAAGGGCTGTCCTAAAAGTTACCTGGGTTTTAAACATCCTTAAGTTCTTCCCATCCTACTTTTAATTTCTTTCTCCCTTGAAAGGTACTTACTTTGTACTCTGAGGACACCGTCAGGAAGGGTTGCTTCTCCATCTGCCATTGATCACCTGTCACTGATTTTATATGACCAGATAGAAACCTGTTTCAACTCAATTACATTTTCTCTCTGCTGCATGGTAGTTTTTAAAAGTTTACTGACTTTTTACCCAATTTGGTTTATTGCTGAGAGATGTCAGCATTTAATTAATTATTCCTTTTTCCTCAGCTATAGTATGCTTTTACTGCACAAGAGGTCACATTCTTAATGTGATTTATGATGGCCCTGTTTAACTTCCCAGGATAGGGCATTTGGCTGTTCACATGTTCTTTCTCTGTATTGTTTATGTGTGCTTATTTTGTATCTTAACATTTTATTATCAGTGGTAGTGTGTTTCCTTTGGGATTTGAAACGTCTTGCCTGTGTTCCTAAGCTCTCTAAATTCTGAGTCTATTTTGTCCGTGTTGACATGACCACATGTTTACTCTGTGCATTTAATTAATGTGTTATTTCTTTTCTTTGCATATATTAATGGCAGTATCTAAAAACTAGGCTATGCAGAATGTTTCTTTTTTTTTTTCTTCTTACATTTTTACTATTCTTTTTTCAGTGAAAATATTGAAGTAAAAGTGTAATAAGCTTTACTTTGATTAGAAACTGTTCACATATGGTGATAGTAATTATTTACAAGCAAATTAAGTGACATGCAAGATATATTTAATGTCCCTTTTTTCACTTTTCTGAATGCTAGATAAACATCACCTCTCTATTTTGTCTTCTAGGGTTATGATCATAGCTACTACTTTATTGCAACCTTTATTGCTGATCACATCAGACATCATGCAAAATACCTGAATGCATGAAAAACTTCAGATAAGAGAACCTCTTCAGGATTATAAAATTGTAATAAACAGAATTGCAAGGAAATAAGATTTTAAAACTTTGGATTTCATAATGCTAAAAATGCTTCATTCTGTAGTTGAATCACCGTCTGAATAAATATATCAAACCTGCTTCTGATTTTAAAAGTTACTTTACCAGTGTTCACTTGGGAAATATTTGATTTTTCAAGATCATTTGGAAATGATTCAGAGGCATGGACTGTCTTTTTTCCTATTGTTTCATATCTAGTATCTAACAACTGCTTGGCTTCTGGTGGTCACTGAATTGAATTATTTGTTAGTTGGTGAATACAGAAATAGACTCAGAAAGATTAAATTTCCCATCATTACACAGTTATTTGTGGGAGAGCTAAGATTAGAAGTCAGATTTCCAGAACCCAGTCAATGATATTTCTTATCTGTTAAGTCAAATGGATTTGTGGACATTGTTTTTTGGACCTCTCTCAAGAGACAAGAATTAAATACTAGATTAGATCTGAAATTAGATAAGGAAGCTTGTTTCATATGTTACTGTGAAAGATACTTTCCTTTAATTACATGCAGAAATGTAGCTTGATAAACTCAGCCAAGAAAAGTAATTATTCTCTTTGTGAGTACCAGAGTATGTTCGTTTGAGAACTTAATGGACACACTTTTGAAACATGATAGGTGAATTCTGGTTGTTTTAAAAGAAATATACTTTTCTGTTAAAGAGCACAAAAGTTATACATTTTAAACATTCAAGAAGAATGCATATTACATGGTAATAGAGGAAGACATCAGGTTTTTAAAGTTATAAAATAAGGACTATGTAAATGTGAATTAGACTAAACTTTTTAAAAATTATTACTATTTAAATATCAGTATGCAAGACTGAACCTACAATGAACTGCACCCAAATGGTTCTAAGTCTGAACAAACTTGTGTCCCCTAATGAGGAAAATTTTTTAATTCACAAATTTTTTCATGTAGGTAATTCCTTTATAAAGAAAAACAACTGTGTGATCCTATGATCTTTGTATTTGTTGAGGATTTAACCAGAGAAGCAGAACTACTGGTAGACATGTACATTAAGAGACATTTTACAAAGAATTTGCTGTGTCATTGTGGGAGTTGGCTAACCCAGTCTGAAATCCATGAGACTTGGAAGGGAAGGGAGGGGACGGAAATGCAAACAATGAAGTGCCATCAGGAAGGGAATTTCAGGAGCGGGGACGCCATGGGCAGGACTGAGGCTTTTGTCCACAGCTGGACTTTCTTCTCTCTCAGCTTCAGTCCTTAATCCTGCTTTTATATACCTTCTGAGTGAGGCCCACCAGATAATCCAGGATAATCTTCCTCATTCAAAGTCAGTTAATTAGGGAATTTGATCATATCTGCAAAAATGCCTTCATAGCAATAGCTAGATTAGCGTTTTCAGTGAATTACGAATTACTAGGGACTATTATTTTACCAATTGGCACAACATTAGAAGAAAATAATCGCTTTGTTTTGCAGGGTAAATGCAAAACATTCAAATACTCAGTAAATAATTGCTAATGTATAGCCAATGGCAACTAATAAAGACAAAAGCCCTTCAATTTCAATACAGAATTGACAATTAAGGATGTATAGGGAGCCAGTAAATTTGAACTTGCTTTTATGTGCCACAAATACTGGCCTGGGGGAGGAATGAATGCTTATATATATATATATATATATAGCTAAATTCTTATATACCTGAATAATGTTTCCCCTTCCAGAAAAAATTCCCAGTCTCTCTTATAATAAGGAACCGTTTCAATGACTTTATAATAACAAATAACCTAAAAATGAACTCCTAATACTAGTCTTGTGTGCTTCTGAGTCACCTGACAGAAGGAGGCAAAGGAATTGACTCATCTCCTGGATCACTAAATGTAAAAGCCCTCTTGAATCTCCCTTTACAAAACAAAACAATACAGTGAAGCCACCATTACTAGTAGAGGCAAGCCATGAAATGGGTGAAGGTGCTTGCAAAATGGGTATCCGACAGAACTTGAAGAATATATAGAGAACTCCATAAATTAATTATTTAAAAGATAAACCAACAGAAAAGTGGGCAAAAGATTCCATTGGGTACTTACCAATATGGGATGTAAGTATGGTTAATAAATACATGAAAACGTGTTTGTAAGACCAGGGAAATGCAGACAATGACGTGCTGCTATACTCCTCCCTGAATGGCTAAAGTTAGGAGAAATTGCAAGCGTGGCCTGGCGGTATGGTGACCTGCTAATGGGAGTATAACTGGCAGAGTCTGCTGAGATGCAGCATAATGTCCAGTCACTCAGTCACATCCAACTGTTCGTGACCCCATGGACTGTGCACGCCAGTCTTCCCTGTCCTTCACTAACTCCCAGAGTTTGCTCAAACTCATGTCCATTGAGTCGATGATGCCATCCCACCATCTCATCCACTCTCGCCCCCTTTTCCTCCTGCCCTCAATCTTTCCCAGCATCAGGGTCTTTTCCAGTGAGTCAGCTGTTCACATCAGGTGGCCAAAGTACTGGAGCTTCAGCTTCAGCCTCAGTACTTCCAATTACTATTCAGAGTTGATTTCCTTTAGGATTGATTGGTTTGACCTCCTTGCTGTCCAAAGAATTCAAAGGGTCTTCTCCCAGGGGCTTCCCTGGTAGCTCAGGTGGTAAAGTATCTGTCTGCAATGCAGTAGACCCTGGTTCAAATCCTGGATCGGGACGATTACCTGGAGAAGGGATAGGCAACCCACTCCAGTACTCTGGCCTGGAGAATTCCATTGACAGAGGAGCCTGGCAGGCTACAGTCCATGGGGTCGCAGAGTCGGACATGACTGAGCAAACTTCACTTTCACTTTCTCCAGCACTACAATTCAGAAGCATCAGTTCTTCAGCACTCAGCCTTCTTTATGGTCCAACTCTCACACCTATACATGCCTACTGGAAAAACCATAGCTTTGACTATATGGACCTTTGTCAGCAAAGTGATGTCTCTGCTTCTTAACGTGCTGTCTAGGTTTGTCAGAGCTTTTCTTCCAAGGAGCAAGAACCTTTTAATTTTGTGGTTGCAGGCACTGTCCACAGTGATTTTGGAGTGCAAGAAAGTAAAGTCTATCACTGTTTCCATTTTTTTCCCATCTATTTGCCATGAAGTGATGGGACCACATGCTATGATCTTAGGTTTTTGAAAGTTGAGTTTTAAGTCAACATAACGGCCCTTCCCAACAAGCCCACCAGAGGTGTACCCATCAGAAACATGTATGTAAAACCTATATGAGAATGTTCATATGAGAATGTTCACTGCTCATAATAGCCCAAATCTGGAAACAACCCACATGCCCATCTTCAATAGTATGCATAAAACCCGTCTATTTGTACAGTGGAATATTCTACAATGAGATAAACACACTAAAATTAGATGCAGCAGCAGAGTCTCAAACATTAAACACAATCTTTTTTTTTTTTTGCCATACCACATGATATACAGGATCTTAGTTCCCCAACTAAGGCTGGAACCAGTGCCCCTGGAAGTGGAAATGAAGAGTCTTAACCACTGGACCACCAGGGAAATCCCTCAAACACAATCTTGAGTGGAAGAATCCAAGTACAAAATTATAAACTGTATATGTCATTATGTACCATTGCATGTAAGAGTCCAAGCCAGGCAAATCTCATCTATGGTGTTAGAAGTCAGGATGGGATTACTTATAGCAGAAGGAGTAAGGGCCCTAGGCTGAGGTGATTAGAGGGTAGCATGCAAGGTCCCCTAGTGATGCTTGCTTCATTTGGGTGCTTAGTGTATGAGCATGTTCACTTGGCAAATTCATCAGGCCATACACTTAAGATTTATACACATTTTCATATGTGTTATACTTTAGTGAAGATTGTGTTAAAATCTCTTAAGTAGTCATGTTGTGGAGATCATAAATATACTACTGCATGAAAAAGAAAAGAAATTCTTGATGTTATACAAAGATGTTTATTTGGGAGAATACAGTTTTCAGTGGCCACATCATTTATGGAGTCAAATAATGTTATCTCACTTAGAAACCACTTAGTAGTGATGGTGATGTGTGATGGCTTGTGAGCTCTCTGAATTTTGAAGATGCAAGTGGAGTCCAGATAAAAATTATTTATTGAAATCTTAGAGTGGAAAAATTCCAAACTGACATTTAAAAAATATTTTTAATATGTGTAATAAACTGTGACAAGTTAGACATGAGTTTTTGTTTTGAAGAGTCCATAAACATTTCAAATTATCCAAAAGGCTTTTTTACATATTCTCATCAGAAAAAATGCTGTTCTTGTATTTGGCCACAATGAACATACACCCTGGATGAGAGACAAAGTGGCTTTAGTTTTGATGGGTGAGGTCAACTTTACTAACAAGTTATTTATGCATATAGCATATTTTAAGTTGGAAAACATGAATTTTTAACATTAATGTTTAATAAATGTTGAAAGCCAGGGAAAAAAACAGTGCTTACACCATCCATGTCAACATCTTTATATGTGTGTGTTTTTGACTATGCTGGGTCTTCATTGCAGCAAAAAGGCTTCTGCTTGTGGTGAGCACGTTTCTCTAGTTGCAGCACACAGTCTTCTCTTGTTGCAGAGAACGGGCTTGGTTGCCCTGTGGCATCTGGGATCTTAGTTCCCCTACCGGGGATCAAATCCACGTCCCCTACATTGGAAGGTGGATTCTTAACCACTGGACCACCAGGGAAGTCCCATGCACTTCTCACTTTCTTAACAGGCCTGAGAATTTAAGTTCTGATTCAAAAACACTTTAAAGATAGAATTATTATAATGATACTTTCAGAAGAAGTTAACCTGATATGTCTCCTGCTTCCATAATGTAACTTGGGCAGCTCATTTCATCCTTATAAGTCTGATTCCTCATCTGCAAATGTGTAGACAAGAGCCCCTTCACCCTCTAACTCACAGAACAGTGGAGCATAGCAAGATAAGATACCCGTATGAAATCATTCTCATCCCACCCAGATATTAGTAACCAATGCACTAGTGTCAGAGGACTCCCGAGTGAGGTGACCTTTCCTTAGAGATCACCCATAGGAATGTAATAGAGCTTCTGCCTTTGTTTATTTTCATTTCATTCCCTCCTATTAAAATGTAT